ACTGCCACCTCCCAGTTGAGTGATCTTCAGCCAGTCGCTGCCCTTAATTTTCTAATCTACAGAGTGGGAATAATAGCACTCATCCTGATGCTGTTCTAAGGTGTTGTGAGGATATAATGAACTTGAAAGTACCTTTTAAATTTTACATACATAGGGAAATTGCCATTCTTGAGACAGCTAAATTTTACCCTAAGTTGGCTTGATTAAATCTCTACATAGTTGCTGCTATTGAATGACAGAAGATGAGATGTAAGACAGGAAAACTCAATGCCTGTTTTTGGACTCGAAGAACCATTTGCCTGTGCAAACCCTTCAGGTAGCAAACATACTCAGGGGCCTCACAGCAGAATCAGGACCAGCCACGTGTCACTAAGTAATGAAGAAAGGCATCCACAATGACCTAAAGGCCTTTCTCAGAATGTCAAGCCCTCCCTGGACACAGAGCATATTTTCCTAGGGTCCTTGATAGAAGCATCACAAATCCTTGAGAAAGAAAACTCCTTTGTGCATGAAAAGAACATGCTGTATCTTGTTCCATGGGACAATGAACCGTGAGCATAACACTCTACATTCCAGAACCCAGTGGAAGAAACAATTGTCTCTGGGTTTAATTATAGATTCTTCACTTTCCCTTAATTGCCTGAGTCAGTACTGTTGACTCTGGGGGAGTCTTGAACACAGGTCGAGCTCTTGCTGTTAAACAAGGTGTGACTATCAGGTAATGAGGTTTTTGTGTTGTTTTGTTTTGTTCTAAACAAACAACCCTTGACATACATATTCAAGTGAGTGTTCCTGTTAAAGGTGTCACATTAGTAAGCTAAGCTAAGCTCACAAATTTTGAGAAATGTAGTATGGCAGGTATAGGTGCTCTTATGGGAGAAAAAGGACAATATATTTAATATTAAAAGTCTCCTAGGAAACCTGAGCTATGGGATCCTCATAGCTCCCATAGGGAGACCCAGGCAGCATTGGGACAATACTAATGGTAATATGGTTGGAATACACATTAAATGGCCCGCAGAGAGACGGTTTTACCTCTCAGTATACACAGATGCGTTTCCTGGAGGAAAAGATCCGTGTCTCTTATCAACCTTCCTTGATCCCACAAACTCAAGTTCAATGCCTTGCATGCAAAAGGTGCTCAATAAATATTTGTGGGACATTTCTCCTACCCTATCACAATACTTACAGTCATTCTTCAGAAAATAAAACAGAGTCCATATTTTGAATGGAAATAAGTCTTTTGAGTCTTGTTTTGTTACCTTTCCATCCCAGATACTGCTTTCTCCTGCTTATTTGTATGGCTAATAGCCAATAAACAGTCATTCAATGAACATTTATTGAGAAATGGCAATACCAAGCTCTGGAAAAAATCTCCTGGAAATTTCACAGACATTCTTGGTATACGCACAGAACCTCTAGGCCAAGGATGTTGTGCAGGCTCCCACAGAACAGTCTCTCTCATGTAACCTCAGGAGAGAAAGGGGGTTATTATAAGGACCCCTAGAACTGAAATTTGGTCATGGTCTCCCATTTTCTTTCTCTTAATGTTGTTTCTGTTTATTTGCTATGTCTGCTCCATTCTCCATCCTCTATAACCAGACTTCTCTGCTTCCTCATAACTTAGTTGATTCATGGCTTGTTGTGGTTGTATTACTCAGGAAAAGCTAGTTATGCTTCAGTAACAAACAATCCCCAAATCTCAGTGACCTAAAATAGCAAAGGTTTATATCTCACTCTTGCTACACATCCACCAAGGGTTAGCTGAAGGGAGAGGGGGAGCTCTGCTTATCATAGACACTTGGGAACCCAGAATGATGAGCAGCAACAGTGTTAAAATGAACATGTTGAGGCACAAGCTAACTCCACAAGCTAACTCCTTAAGCGTCCGCCATAAGTAACTTCTGCTCATATTTCCTCAGCCAAAGCAAGTCAAATGACCACACCTAACTTAACTAGGGTAGGGGGTAGATATGCAATCTTACCAAGACCATGATTGGGGAGAAAGCCTAAATACTTTTGAATAGCCTTAATCACCCTCATACAGGCATCTCTAGCCCAAGATTGCAAACCCTCTTTGTTTCAGCAGCTTCAGCTAATGATTCATACTTTCCTCGTTCCTTAGCTCAAACTATGGTGAGAGAGAAACTGTGTGTCCTAGACCATCTTTGCTTGACAGGCCAGAAACTGTGTGTCCTAGACCATCTTTGCTTGATTTGTCCTTGAGTCATGGCCAATCAGCTGGAGAACAGGGATATACACTATAGCACGTGGCTATCCAGCCCACCTCTTCATTCAGAGACCAAGACATCTGTTCAGTACAGAAGAAATTGTTGTTGAAGTTAAGTCATGATGTTTTGCTTGTCTTAGCCCTTGGTGACAGAAAGATTGGGTCTGGCTAGCTGTTGGGTTATTTATGGGGCAGAATCTCAAATGATTGAGTCCAGAGACCTGCTGCATTAACCCATCAGTCTAGAGATCAATGACGTTGTACCAAGGGGTTTTAAATTTTGGCTCTGTGCAGCTCTGGTTCCATAATTGGACACCACAGTCTTTGACCTCTGAACCTATAGCCCTAGGTGAGAGGGGCAGAGTGGAGAAGAGAACCCACACAAGAAGATCTAAAAGTCTGAACCCAGAATTCAAGTCCCTTCACCATATGCCTCCAATCTACCTTTCCAGCCTCACTTCCCAGTTTACCCCCAAATAAACATATTGTCCGACCACCATCAAACATCCCCTTTTCTTCCATTGGCTTCTCTCTAACTGCATCCCTTCCTCTAAAATCAGTATAAAAACCACCACTGTTCAGAGAAGTCTTTTTCCGTCTCCTCTGACCTGGTCATTTCTATTTCTTCCTCCTCCAAATTCTTATAACTCTGCTCATGCTGAACACCTAAAGGACAAGAATGTATCTTATTCATTTAGTTATCCCAGAGCCGAGGGCTTGCCTGGTTCTCACCGAAGGTGTGTTTGATGAATTGTCTGTAGCATCAGAAAACTTCCTCTGCTATGTTAGACACAGTGGAGAAAAGTCTGTTAGTATGGTCCCTCCAGGAATTTCTCTAGTTTAATTGCCTAATTTTATAAGTGAGAAAACTGAGGCCCAGAGAAATGACTTGCCCTCTGCCACCCAGTTAGCCACAATTTACTGAGCATTTTGCTATGTGCTAGACAAAAAGCTTTTCATTATCTTATTTCTACCCTTGTAACAACCCTAAGAAGGAAGAATTTTCACACCTACTTTACAGAAGAGAAAACTGAGGCTTAAAGAGGTTGTAACATGACTAAGGCCACATTGCAAGGAGGAAGTCAGGCCAGATTCAGATCCTGGGGTCTAACTCCTAAGGGCCTACTCTTCCCCCTTATGCTGATCTCCAAGTTGAGGAGTCAGCTCCTTGTGGTTCCCTGCAACTGTATATTGCCCATAGGCCTTGAACTTAGCCAATGCTCCAGTGGCTGAGTTGACATATGGTGATTAAAGGGTTCTGGTGAATTTCCGTGCCATGCAGCCCCTATGCACACAGGTCTACTGTTCTGACCATTAGGTCAGGGTATGTTTTCCCTCCTGGGCAATTGGATTAGTGGAAGAAACATGATAAAATCCTGGAAAGGAACTTGATCTTTCTCTGAAGGACTTACAAGTTGTTTGGCCTGCCTAATCTGCTCCAGTACCGTCCAGGGAATATTCGGTATCCATGTAGTACAGGTTGTGAATTATTCTGTGGGGACTGTTAACAAGACCCTCACCGACTCTGCCTCAGCCAGTCTCAGGCAGGCCCTTGGGGCAGCCCCCTTTTTTGCCTTCCAACTAAAGCTCTGAGAAGAGTGGGCTTTTCCCCATTGGGAGCTGGAAGGAGTAAGAGATGTAGGAAAAATCCTCCTGTCTCCAACCTGAACACACTATACAAAGCTGGGCCTGTTCCTTCTCAGAGTTATGGCCTTGGCTACAACAGCTGGGATAACATTTATCCCACATTTTGGCAACCTGGTAGCTGAACACCTAACATGGAAAGAGGCCAAGTCCCTAAAATCAGTTCAAGAAAAATGATGAAGTTAGATCTGGAGGAACCTCAGGGATCATCTGCCCCCTGAATTTAAAGATGAGAAAACTGCAGCACCAAGGCTAAGTTAATTGTCACGGTCACATGGCTGCTGTTGATAAAGACCAAAGACCAAGAAGCCTGAGTCTAAACTCAATGTTCTTTCCCCTTCAACTGCCACCCGCCCACCTACACATTAACACATACACAGGCACACACAACCAAAGTAACTGGGTTCTGTGTCCTTAAAGTATTTGACAAGTCCTTCCCTGGGGAGAAGGGAACGCAGAAGACAGATTTTCAGACATTCTGACCCGCAACATCAGAGAAAGTCTCAGGAGCTGCCCCCAGGTCTTCCTCCCAACACTCCTTTGCTCTTCTCTAGTTGAGTTTCTGGGAAGCGAGCTCCCGGGATGACACCTGGCAAGCTGAGAGTGGCAAGGGATGCGCTAGGCGGGTGCCGCGAGCGCGCAGGCTTGGGTGCCCGTGCGGCGGCTGCTGGCAACCTCCGGAGCCTGATGCTGAGCGCGCCGGGGTGCCGCGGCTCAGTGGGGGCGACGCGCACCAAATACCTGCACTGCTCCCCTGGGCCCTGTGACTCCTAAGGGGCTCGGCTGGGGACCCCAAATGCAGGGCGTTGACCCCGGGAGAAAGAGGTGCGGAGGGTAGAGGTTAGCGCCTCGCCCTGGACTCAGCACCAGTGAGGCCCCGGCGCCCTTTCCCTGGCGTGCAGGTTTGGAAATCCGGCGGCCTCCGGCTGCCGCCTCCGCGGCTCTGGTCCCCATATATAGTCATATCCACCGTCAACTGGGAGGCCGGCAGGCGGCAGCGAATGGGCGAGCGGCCCCCGCGGGAGGAACGGGGAGGGCGCAGGGGGCGGAGGGAGGAGAAGGGAAAGGGGGCAGGAGAAAAAAGCTTTTCCAAAAAAGTATTGGCTGTCTTGAGGAATGTGGTCGTCCCCTTGGGAAAGTACATATCTGGGAGCAGCAGGCAGCTCCGTGCTCGCACTCCGGCTCGGCCGTCCCACCGCGCGTTCGCCTCGCCGCTCCCGCCGCAGCCCCCGGGCCCCTCGCCGCCGCCACCATGGACGCCATCAAGAAGAAGATGCAGATGCTGAAGCTCGACAAGGAGAATGCCTTGGATCGAGCCGAGCAGGCGGAGGCCGATAAGAAGGCGGCGGAGGACAGGAGCAAGCAGGTCGGCACCTCCCTGCACCCGCCGGACACCCGCCCTCTGCGGGCCCGCCCGGGTGCTCCCGAGCCCTGGGACTCAGCCTTACATCCATACCTGCCTTTCACCCCTAGGATTCGGGGAGCCACCCTCACCTTAAACGGCCAGGGACGCGCGTCTGAGGGGAGGCGGGGGAGCAAGACTTGGGCTTGTTCTAACTTTTAAGTAGCATCTGAGGACGCTCATTTCCCTTCTCTGGTTCCCAGAGCCCGCGAAGTCAATTCAAGTCCTAGAGGCACTTGATTCTCAGAATCCGGAATCAATTTTGGATCCTGGGGGGGAGAAGCGGGGCAGGGAGGCGTGAGGGTGGAGGATTGAAGGGAATCAAGTCCGTAAAGTGTTAGAAGTTCTTGCGGGCATTTGCCTGGAGAGAATACGCCCTTCAACTGGTATAGAGAAGGCGGCAGGGGTGGGGTGTGTGTCATGGAGTTTTTTCCTAAGAACAAAGATGGGACAGAATAGAGAATACGGTCCGAAAGCCAGGGGCGTTTTTTTGCATCCTCAAGTTGTGGACTTGAGCTCGCTGAGAGCTCGGCAGGAGTCTCGTCCTGGGGGGAGGTGGGGTTGCAGGGCGGGCCACGGTGCGCCTCCAGCTCCGGAGAGAGGAGGTTAGTTACCTGGGGACTCTTGAACCCCAACTCGGTGGCGCCCCAAGCCGGAGGGGCCCCAGCCAACCCGGCGCCCGTGTGTCGTGTGTGTGTCTAACACTCGGTCCGTGCCGGTCGCCCGCGCCCGCCCGCCGCTGCCCCCCAGCTCGAGGAGGACATCACGGCGAAGGAGAAGCTGCTGCGGGCGTCAGAGGACGAGCGGGACCGGGTGCTGGAGGAGCTGCACAAGGCGGAGGACAGTCTCCTGGCCGCCGATGAGACCGCCGCCAAGGTACCCGGGGCGCGCGGCTCGGCGCACTAATGGCTAACTCTATCTCTCTCTCTCTCTCTCCCTTCTCTGTCTTTCCCTCTCTCTGTCCCGCTGTCCCTGTCCTTTTGGTTCTATGCACCTACACCCCTCCCCTGCGGTATCACGCTGCCTGCTGCACCCCTCCCCCCGTCCCCCACGGCCAACTCCCAGCTGGAAGATGAGCTGGTGTCGCTGCAAAAGAAACTCAAGGGCACTGAAGATGAACTGGACAAATACTCCGAGGCTCTCAAAGATGCCCAGGAGAAGCTGGAACTGGCAGAGAAAAAGGCCACCGACGTAAGTGCACGCACACACTGCCTCCCTCACCTCCTGCCCGCGTGGCCGCTCTGGGTTCAACCACAGGGGCCAGAGAGCAACGGAGGAGGGTCACCTCCTCCCACTGGACACCTGCACATAACCCCGCCATGGCCCAGAGCACTGGATGCTGCCTTGGACTGCTGCTGCACACATTCATTTATATTTCATCCACTCCTGTCTCTCTTTTTCTCTTTCTTTGCCCCCACCTCTGGGGTGGAGGTGGGTGGGTGAGAAGCTGGGAGAATAGAGCAGCTGAAATTGGATGCTGGAGGTGAACCTTGCCTTCCTGGTGGCAGAAAACCTCTGAGGTGTCATCGCCAAGGTTTGTGCAAAACAGAATGCCTAGTTTCTTTCTTTCTTTTTGCCCTCTCTGGTGAGTGGGTGGGTAGGCAGGCCTGGTTTTCAAAGGTAGGCCTAGTCAGGATACAGAGGACCTGGCCTCTAGAATGAAGGAATGGCATGGAACTACTTTGACTTAGAATGCTAAGCTTGATGGTGGGTGCAGAGACATTGAGGCCTGCTTTCTTACTAGGGAAGTCAATCCAGTCTTTTAAGATCTGCCTGGGAAGATGATACTTGCTTGGGTCCGCAGTCTGAGGGCACTAGATCCAAAAAGTAAACTGGGAGTTATATATAGCTCAGTGCTTTATATGGTATAGTGAGCTAGCTGCCTCCTCTGCCCCCTCCCACTTGCCCCACCCCCACCTGTCAGCCTTCTGACAACCACCACATAGTTTCAGGGTTGATGCACACAGGGCAAAAGCACTCTGTCCATTTCCCTTTGGAGGATTCCTTTTAGCGGAAGAGCTTGCCTCTTCTGCGGCATAATTCAAGCCAAACATTATATTTCCAAAGGACCTTTTTTTTCCACACCGTTAGATTCCATTCTAGAACCTAATTAAGCCTGGAGGCCCAATTAGGAAAGAATTTCTTGGGAACTTGGGAACAATTCCAAGAATGTATGAGCACCAGAGAGAAACTGCCCAGAAGTTGAATTACCAAGTGCTACAGTAGAATTTTTTTATCTAAGAGTAAAATGCAAATTGCTGGAGGGTCTTGGGTCTGGAAATCAGTAAAAGCTTTTTGTGGTTTGAAAGGCTTGAAATGTAATCTCCAAGTGTGCTATGTAAATGAGAAATCCTGACATGGGACATTTAGAATCTGACCAAAAAATTTTTCAGTGAAAATCAAGATTCCTGGAAAGGAGGTTCAGGGAAATACTGATTTAGCTAAAATATTTAAGTTACAAACTACCTGGCTTTAGAAAAAGAGCCAAAGAACACATATAATTCTTGCTTTGTATAATGTAGATCAGATGTCTGTTCTGTATATGGTTAAATGGAGGATGTCTGTCTCCCTCAAATTCTCCAAGAGGACGTTTATTTAGCTTTTTCAAAAGAGCCGCTGATAGATCAAGGAGAGATATACCTTATAAGGAAAAGAATGCAGAGAATTTGAAAATAGCCCAGTAAGGCTGAAGGCAAGAGAAGGAGAAAAAAGCTACTACAATTCTTAAGGAAAAAAGATCATAATTATTGTGACTATGTGGTGCTACAGGTCTTCCATGAAAAGTCTTGTTTAAGGGAGCCTCCCAATGAGGTGGATTAGAAGTGGAAAAGAGGTTATTTAAAACCAGCTGGGGTGGGGGCGGGGCCAGCAGGGGAGGGAGAATTTTGAAACTGTTTTGATTCTTTTTTTTTCCACTGAAAAACTGCCCCTAATATGGTACTTTTTTTGGGGGGGGAGAAGGGGTAGTATATATTGTTCATCTTCTCTTTAACATTTTAGGTTGTTTGGAACCTATAGGAATATTGAAAAAGTTTGTGAAGAGTGATTCTTAACTAGTAAAAATAGTCTACTTGAACAGGAGGAGACAGATGTCACTAGAGAAAGGGGGAGGTGGGAGAGAGGTGAGTTTCCTGAGGTAGTATTATATTACATTTCTGATTAGGACATTTCATTGTCATCATTCACTACTGTAAAACATTTTTACATTTTTCTTCTACTAAAGATATTTTTTCTAATTTACCAACATACTTTACAAATCTTATTCCAGAAGTGGGCTCTTCGTAGCTTAAACGGTTATAATTGAGGAAGTAGCATCCCTGATGGTTTTGTTTTCAATTTTTTGCTGTCATTCCATCTAAGTGAGGCTGAAGGGGATAGATGGCTCCTATTTTCTCTCTGGTCCTCAACCCCTTCCCCAATAACTATGTACCTGATATTTACAGTATGTGAGTCTTTATTCCCTGTAGGTCTTTGCTTCCTAAGTCAGTGATTCTTTCAACCTTATCTAAATTGAATTGCCTAGAGAGGTTTAAAACCCGTAAATCCAGGCTGCCTAGGACAATTAAGCAAGAATCTCTGGGAGTGGAACCCAGACGTTAGTGTCTTAAAGACCCAGGTGATTCCAATGCGCAGCCAAGGCTAAGAACTGTCCTAAACTCTTCTATAATGACATCAGCATGAAAATGAACTCACCTGAAACTGACTTTCCCAGGTGTTTGAAAGCATGCCATTTAGTCACTAGTTGGCTGCTTAGAGCACTTGCAAGTGTCCAGCAATTTCCCTGGCTCCTTCTGAAGGTTCCCAGATGTCCCCTACCCCCACCCTCAAAGTTGGAGGCCACGGTTTCTACTCCTTTAGGAGAGGAGTTGTAACCTTCCCCTTGACCAGATAAACTGCGTGGAAACAAAGCGAGAGGCTCCACCTACCGGATGTGAGGGCCATTGCTGGGGTTTCGGAGAGACTCAGCCTCAGCCGAGGCTGTGAGAAAGTCCATGGAAAATGAGTCTGGAAAGCAAAGGAGTTTAGTTGTTAGGAGCTCTGGAGGAGAGGGTTGTCAGGTCTGTTTTCTTTTTCTACATTACTCCTACACTTAAACATATCAGGAACTGACTTGAAAGGTGAGAAAATAAAGGTGTGAGACTTAGCAGGCATTTAAAAACAAAGCCCAATTGGCAGAGGTGGATTCCCAGAGATTGTGCCCACGTTGGTTTTCATCCTGCTGTAGCCAGAGGCTCTCTTAGGATTTTGTCTTCTTTGGTGTGCCTTTTAAAGGCAACTCCGTCCAGCCCTAAATTGGTCAGATTCCAGAAAGAGCTCTGAAGCTGATCTAAAAGCAGAAAAGTTTGTAAGCAGAAGGGACTCTTGAGATGGCCGTTTTTACGGAAAGGAAAGTGAGCCCCAGAGAGTCTGGCGGGCCTGAGATCACACAGCTGGTTATGGGCCCCAGCATGACTCTTAAGACAGTGCCTGCCTGTTTATTAACTAAAGTTATCATTTGAGTTCTTAACTATGTATGTACAAGGTATTGAGCTAAGCGCTTTATTTCATAACCCTCACATCAGTCCAATGAGAAAAGTACTATTAACCCTACTTTTACAGATGAAGCCCAGAGAAGTCAAGTTATTTGTCCAAAGTCACACAGCCAGGAAAGAACTAGGAGCCAGATTCTAACTTGGGAAGACTTTTAGAATAGGTAGGTTTAACCACTGCAATATATTAGTGGTTTTCATTTCGTGAGTTTTGGAGTAGGAGAAGGGCTGTTGTGGTTAGAATCTTGTGTCCTGGGGTTCTTTACAACGAGCAACAGTCCCTTTGGGAGTACATTCAGGCCCCAAATCCCTCGTTCAGCTTCCCTCTCTTCTGGGCCTGGGAATCCAGGACTCTGCAGCGGCGCTCCCGCCGCCAGTAGGCGGCACCATCGCCCTTAGCAGGCAGTCCCGTTACCCCTGGACTACTCGGAGCCGGGGAGCGGTGCTGGAAGTCGAAAGAAAATCTCTGTTTGATGGCCTCCTTTTCTGCAGGGCGCAGTCCGCCAGGTGCCCCACAGCGCGCACCCGACGCCAGCAAGACTCGTTGCAACGAGCATGCGCAGCGCCTCCCGCCGTTTACAAATTCCTGGGGTCCGCGGCGCGCGCCCGGCCCCGCCCGCCACGCGCGCTCGCGCACCCGCTTGCGG